GGGCGCGGAGTCTGATGCGAGTTTTCGGAGTGGCTGCGGCGAGCCTCGAACACGTCCGTCAAGAGGCTGTGAAGGGACGGAAAGGGACGCGGGCATTTTAGCTTGATTCTTATTGATGGCGAAATGTGTTTTTTGTTTCTAGGTTTAATTGCCGGGGTCTCTGCTCCCTCTAAGATCGGTTTAGACTTCTGCCGTCTATACATTGTTCTGCCGTGTCCCTGTCCCCGCCTCCCCTCCCCCACTTCGGGTTGTTCCACTTTCTAAATTAGTCTCTGAATCGGCTGGAATTGGTTCTCTTCATGGCCGCCCTTTTTATGCTTATCTTACCTAAATAAATACAGGCCCTGAACCTCCGCCCCCTCCAAAGTACACTCCAGTCTCCACGCGCCTTCTCCCTCCCTTTAAGAATTCTGCATCGAGTTCCGACCAACATCCCTTTCTCCCCTTCACTCGCTCACTCCTTTCCTTTGTTCAAGTCTCAAAAGTTATATATTTTCTGGCGCACCCGTATAACACGTTTGACAGAAATAGGTCAGCGCGGAAAAGTGCAACCCCGTGAGCGATCTTCCAGCAATCAGCATCATGTTTTCAATATTGCAGGAACCTTATTGATGGTGTCTCAACACGTGCGCTTTTGTTGTAGTTTTGTATTTTATGGATTTGGTATGTAAGAACCTTTTTTTATTAAGATATCTTACCATCTATAGGACTACGATAAAATTACTCTTAACGCTCTGGTTAAGATGAATCATAATGTTATACGTACTTTTGTGTGATATTTTTTCGTATTCTTATAGTTCATATTTATTTATTTATACTCCAAACGAAGGATATTTATAGCTCCTGTTTATTGTTTGCTGTATTTTTTTCACTTTCATTTCCGCTGAGCATTGTAGGAGCGCCAAGATTTTCTACTGGAGGGTATCGGCGTAGCTTTGGATTTTACGAGTTTTCGAATGTATTTGTTGATTTTACTGTCGCTACCAAATACTGTTGCTTTCATTTTAGCATACAGCACTAGCAGTTCTTGCTGAAGTATCTCACAGATTTGTCTCATTCGGATTTTCTTTTATCGTTAGTATTAAACCTTTTCTTGAACATGACCAGATTTCCCGGTTAATTTGTGCCATTACTTGAAGCCTCGCCGACCAAGCCTTCCCCGAAATGCCGTTAGTTCCCATAGTTCGATCACGTCTCGGGACGGCCTACTCGCGGCGGATGTGATCCAACAGGGGAGAGTAAGCAAGCCCAGAAACTGCGGCCGTATTACAATTACGATTTGGTGTAATAACCGAAAATTACGGATAATGGCCGCCTGAGAGTGGAGGAGAACCTGAGCTTCCTAAACTGTGCGGATAATCGTTGTGGAGACCTGTAGAAAGCCTTGGATGGAATAGGCAGTGAGCGTATAATTCCGATGGCTTTCGATTGATAAAATAATTTCCTCGCTTGACAATCTATTTTCCAATTTTTTTTTTTTTTTTATAATTTTCCATCAGCGATTATGGAGACATGTTAAGATTGTACGAGAGGAAGAAAATGTGCGCGCGTTTCTTTCTTTTGTTCGGGTTAAGAAATATATAAAGAGAAGGCCATACATCCTAAGATAAGTAGGTGCACGTACGACTGTGTTTCAGTAATTTCTCTTTGATATCCGGCCTCTTTGCAAAGCTTTCCCTTCCCTCCTCGCCGGAGCCCAACTGTAGAACAATAAGAGAAGTAATTTATATCAGTCAGAGCAGAATACGATGATGAAGTGGAACCCGCCATGACACAGCAGCGAGCGGGAAAACCTCCAGAATTGCATTAACGATCCTATTTTGTTTTCTCGATCGCTTCATTCGCAGACTTTACAAACTGGAGTGTATTATAAATGCTTTATGATATGTCTGACATTTCGGGACAATGACACGAGAGTTCTCATTTCGACATTCCGACACTTCATTATCTAAATGATCCTTCCATTCATGACGAACTTTGGAATATCAAGTAGCATTGTCATGTAGTATATGCTGATTACATTAGTGACATTTCTCTACACTATGGTCAGCGGGAAGACCGTTATCTGAGGTTTCAGTTAATGTGAAAGGGTTATGCGACGTAATATTCATGAGTGTCTCCGGTGAACCTAACCTTCACCGCCATGACAATACGCTACGCTCGGCCAGGATAATTTGAATAAATGTCACAAGCTATTATTTTTACCGTGGAAGGGCCGGCCATTTTAATATTCGCATATTCAGTAAATGTCATGAATGGTTGACTTCGATGTAAGGCCCTGCGAACAAAACCCAGCAGGATATGAATCGCAGTTTGAAGAATGGACATTAGAATTCTCTAAATGTTTTTTGTCTGTCTCGTAGCCGGACAATGAAGGGGAGCCTAATTCAACTCGTGAATAAAAATACATAATCATTGCTTGTTTTGTTCATTATTGTGGGAGTCCCTTTTTGTCGGTGTGTTAGTAGCATCGGGCTGACTGTGCAGAAACATCATTGTCACGGAAATGTTATTCCAAACAAATTTACAAAGTACGGCGGAAGAACGCGGTGCCGTCCGCTCGTTCGATCCCGGGCATCCAAGCAATTCCCCGATTCTACACAACATGAAAGACTATCCATATCCCGAAAAAAAAACAATGTTCCCAAGAAAAAAGATGACAACTTGATGTAAATTTTTGTCGGTATTCTTCTAAAAGATAATGAAGGGTTAACATTTCGGCAAGTGACGGCTCGCTGTCAGCAGCCAGGCCTCGCCATGATGGAGCGGCCGCCACCGCCGCCAAGCCACCGAGTCCACGCTAGTCTCCGACCATCTCCTCTCTGTCTACTTCGATTTTCGTCTTCATTAGCCTATTTTCCTTTCTAACATTGAAGGTATAGGTTTAATACATTTTTAAAAATCAGCAACGTATAACGAAACAGTTTTATCATTGGGTTGTGCTTTGGTGTTTCCCTCTCTCGCTCCCTATTTTCATCTTTCATTCTGGTTATTTCTCTGGTGTAGCGACCCTGATACTCTTGTACTTATATGTCATTGCATCATTTTATTTGAGATGTTATTGCATCATAGCGAACATAGGAAAGGATTGTTTGGGAGAAAATAAAGTATATCAGACGGAGTATATGAAATGATTTTCAAGGTTGGATGAAACAAATAAATAATGTTCACTTTGTAGGTTTGTTATGTTATGGGAAAATTCAGCAATTGCTTCATTTTTATAAAGTCAATTGAAGACACGAGTAGTTACCAAACAAGATGCCGAGACTGAATTATTTTACGAATTTTGGTAACGCATTTCTTGTCATTGTTCCATTGTAATTGAAAAAGTTTGCTAGAGAATTATGGGAGGACCTCAGCCCATCAGCCGAACAATAGACAGGTAATTTGAGTCAAGTAATTTTACGCAATTTGCCCACAAGTTTGTCCTATCGTTATGTATGCGAAAATAATTCATATTCAATTCAAATCACATCGAGGCGCGCCCAAATATGAAGATGGCATTTCTTTTATTTCGTATTTTTATTTTGATAGGGATTGGAGAGTTTTTTCATTTTATTTTTTTTCATTCTCAATTCTGGGAATGAACACTATTGAAGAAAAATCGGAGCACAGTAGAGTCACAGGGAGAGCGCGCCAAAGTTAACCAAACGCAAATGTTTCATGTCTTGGCCAATGGCTCTGAATGGCAAATCGTCCAAATTGCCAGGTACCTTGCAACGTTATTATGTCAAACAAATGAAAATATAACTTTGCAATCTCCCGAGTTTTGTTTGTAGTGATTGCACGCGGCAGGGAGGGGTCCAGTCACGTTATCGGAGCAACCTGATTTCGCGATGTAATTTCTAATTTATCAGTAAAGACAACTGATTTATACTTGGAGCTCACTGAAGATGGACAATGATTGTCCTCGACTTTCTCTTTATCTGATAAATGTTCTGTTCTCCCTTGATTCCATTGCCTGTGAACATCTGCTCTTTTCTCGTACTGTCCGAGGCGATGCATAATTCAGCGAGGACCAATTCTCACTGAACGATGAAAAAGTATATAATTGCCTTAGTCATTATGCATGTGTTATAATTATGAAAAGTCTGCAGGGATGGCGTTGCCTATCAATCCTGGCATTTTCGATGTTATTTTTTGCGTACGTATTCTGTTCTGCCTTTTTCCAGATCGTTTAGGTCTGTTTGAATATTTAGGTTCTGTGCCGTGATGTGATACTGTAGTACTGGGTGTGTGACAGTTGTGAAAACTTTTTTTTTTTTTAATATGCTTTGGGATTATTCTAGCTTTATCATTGTAAATATGTAAACGATAAATTGTAATTATGCTGCAGTATACCTGTTTCTCTGTTTCTACCAGTGTTATCTTACGGCAGTATTTTATAAACAAATATGCTGTGGGTATCCCGCAGTAACGTAAGGGCCGCGAAGACAAATGACCGACTCAGCGCATACGTACTTTCTTCACTATGATTTTTTTTAATGCTCAAGCTTTCCATTACGTTTATTCATTCTGGTCACTAAGGGGATTGATTATAAAAATGATTCCAAGCGAAACGCGGACTCGGATATCCCCTAGCCATAATAACCTCGAGGTGATTAGGAATTATATTTATTATTTATCATGTGAGAAGTTTTCGATGAATCACAACGGTGGTCAGCTGAGCAGCTGATAGTTTCACACGTAAAATATTAGGTCATATGTGAGGCTTCACAACTGCCACGGTCCAGGCACATTAATTGCCGTCAAATGTCATCATAAAATTGTTATCACTGCCATCCAACCTCTGGTCACCCTGTTGGTAATCGCTTCTTCACTCTCCACTCCCCTCACCCCAAAAAAACGTCGAAAATCTTCTGTATTAGTGTATAATGATAGAGGAATTTCTGTATCTACACCAGAGTAGGGATTTATCATTCGTTTATTTTAATTGTATCGCTCATTAGGATTACATTACGAAGCATGATTCAGTATTTAATCATATAATTCTTTTGCAGATTCATACCAGGCCCAAGTTCAGGCAGCATGGCAGAAGAGCTGGAACCAAACCCAGAGCCTGCTTCAGAATCTGCGGTTTAGAGAGCGCGGACCTCTCAAGTCTTGGAGACCCGAGACGATGGCTGAAGCTATTCACGCTGTGCTGAAGGAAGGCCTGTCCCTGTCTCAGGTAAGCTGCATTTAATATATTCTGTTTCACAAATGGCATGGCAAAAATCGTGCACAATTATTTACTAGTCTGCAAGAGAAGCAGAATCAAAGTAAACACTGCTTAACGTTTCCTCACCCATTTCAGGCTGCCAGGAAGTATGACATCCCGTACCCAACGTTTGTGCTTTATGCCAACCGCGTGCACAACCTGCTCGGGCCTTCCAACGAGCCGGGGGACATGCGACCGAAGGGCCGAGGACGTCCGCAGAGAATACTGCTGGGGTGCTGGCCCGAGGAACAGATCAAGGGCGTGATCAGGGCCGTTGTGTTCAGAGACACCTCAGTGTTCAGGGAAAATGAGCATAAGGTGGGAGGGAAGACTAAGGTATTTAAACTTGATGTTATAATTGTGATCGCGCTTTATTTTTATTGTCAACTTTTTTTCCCCATTAAGTTTTTTTTATCATTTTTCACAAGACTGTCTTATCTCTTTACTCTCATAATCCTTACAATCTGATGAATTTCGTCATCATCATCATCATCAGTCATCATCATTATTGCTATAACAGTTACTATTTATTAAGAAGTATAAAATAACTAATAATGATGATAATGAAAAATACTATTAATAATAGTGATATCAATATTTTTTTTCACATTTATTGTTTTTATCTTCGTTCATCATCATTATCTCCTCAGTCAACAATTTTATTATCATTATTATTATAATTTTTATTGTTGTCATTTTCATTAATCATTACAATTTTATCATCCCCATCGTCAAACATTGTTGACGATGCTGGTGGTGATGGTGAAAATGGTGATGATTGAATGTGACAATGATGATGGTGATGGTGATGGATGATGATGATGATGATATTTTGTAATTAATATTACTACAAAACGACTTTCTTCATCTCCATTTTCCTCTATACTACTCCTACTTTTTATGTATCTTATATGATACAGTTGGTATTTAATATAACAAAAACCTTTTACTTGTTCATATTCTTCACAATTTATTTGAGTTATCTGTTACATTGATTACTCTGTTCTAATTATTATTTCTTATGATGATTATCATTAGTATTTACTCATTTATTCAAATCCCAAACTGCACATTACTCTTTGTTGTAATGATATTTTGATGTGATTTTTCTGTAGAGTTTGAATCTGATATTCACTTGTTCGTCTCACTTAAATGATTTAGTCTGTTTGTAATGTTCAAATGGACTAATACTTGCATCCAAGTTTTCAGTGTTATTGGATTATATATAAGCCACTCCTAAATAGTCACATAATCTTTCACTATAAATGTATCTACACACCTGCACGGAATCAAGACTTGTCACATTATGGAGCTAATATTTGAATGTCTTGATGTATTATGATGCCTTTTATCCCCCCCCCCATACTTCACAATGTTGATGTTAAAAGTAACCTGTAGGATTACTCCCACAAATTTTACATAGTCAATGTTCACCCTGTATTTCTCTTTGCTTTCTGTAGGAAAACAAGCAGCCATCTACACCTAAGGTGCCACGGGTTAGTATTATGTGTTTTCAGACCAGATGTATTTGACTCATAGATAGCTTGTAATAGATTGCAATGTAATGTAAATTATTGTTGCTTTTTCCCTTCCTTGAAGGTTGAGTAATTAGTAGAAAATTAATATGGTGACTACAAAAGTTAATATAACATGAAAATACTGTAGGATATATCTCAGAAATTCTGGAGTTAAATAAATAATTAGATTAACTTTGACCATTGATCAGAATGAGAAACTTTGAAAGGTGGACACTTTGGATAGATCTCAGCTTCTCTGGGTTGATGCAGAATTCATGACGACCTTTCCAGATCAGTCTTGACGAATAATTGGAGGTCAATGATATAGCTATCATATGGAAAATTTCCAGAAAGTAGTTTTTGTTATTCCATGTATAGCAAGTGTTTTTTGGAAAAGTAATTTTTTTTCTTTTTCTTTTTACAGCCGGATGATCCAGCCAATGCTCTGATTAAGCCCAATGGACCCATGGTTCCCAACACTTCAGGCATCCTCCCCAATGCATCTGGAGCTCTACCTAACACCTCGGGCATTTTACCCAACACCTCGGGTGTTATACCCAACACCTCGGGCATTTTACCCAACACCTCGGGCATTTTACCCAACACCTCGGGCATCTTACCCAATACCTCAGGTGTTCTACCCAATGCTTCAGGTCTTCTGCCTAATGCAGCTGGACTTCTGCCACCATTTATGCTGGATACTCCTGACAATGGTAGTCTTTCCACTGCTCCAAGCACTCCAGCCCCATCTACTCCAGCCCCATCTACACCTGCACCCAATACTCCCATTCCTGCACCTACAACACCAGCTGCCTCTACTCCAGTTTCTGTACCTATGACAACTCCACCTACTCCAGGAAGCCTTATGGCCACAGCAGCTGACAGCCCATCTTCAAGTGAGTCTCGTGTGGTGAACAGTTCCACCACAGTTGGCAGTTCTCCTCAGCCATCGGGAGAAAATGCTACTGGATCTGCTGCTCTCAGTACTCATACATTAACTTCTTCTGTCTTGTCCTCACCTGTATTCAGTCTTAGCAACAGTAACAGCAACACCAGCAATGCCAGTATTATCAATGGAACACCATCAGTCAGTCCAAGCGTAGGTAGCCAACAGCAGCCAAAACCTGCCCATCAGCCACAGCATTCACCACAGCAGCAGAAGCAACCGCAGTCACAGCCACAGCCACAGCCACAGCCACAGTCACAGCCACAGCCACAGTCACAGTCTCAGTCACAGTCACAGCCGCAGCCACAGCAGCAACAACAACAACAGCAGCAGCAACAGCAGCAGCAGCAGCAGCCACAGTCTTCATCTCATCAATCACAGCCACAGTCACAACAGTCTCCACAGCAGCAGCCACAGCAGCAGCCACAGCCGCCATCTCAATCTCAGCAACAACAGTCACAGTCTCAAGGTCAAACACAAGCACAAGCTCAGCCACAAGCACAGGCACAAGCACAAGCACAACAGCAACAGCAACCTCAGTCTCAACCAAACAGCTACAATCACATCCTCAGCAGCAGCCACAGCAGGCCCCACAGCATAATCACCAGCAACAGTCATCACACCATCACCAACAGCAACATCACCACCACCACCAGCATCAGCAACAGCAATCGCACCATCATCAGCAGCAACATCATCATCATCAATCTCAACATGCACATCATCACCAGCATCAACACCAGCAGCCACATCATCACCATCATCAGCCACAATCACAGCATACACCTCAACATACACCACAGCATACACCTCAGCATCATCAGACACAACCCCTGCCACTTGGAGGATTATTGCCAGGTGGTCTGCCTTCACCATTAGCAACATCTTTAGCGTCCCCAGCCCACCTGGCTCGTTTGTTTGGAGAAAGCACCTCTCATCACCACCTTCCTGGTCACCAGCCACATCCTCAGCACCCACAGGCCCCAATTAGTCCATTCCATCCTGGCTTTCCCCGCCACCCACACCCATCTGCTGCTATGCAGGTTCTGAATGCCATGAACAGCTTGAATGCACATGCTTCTCGATTAAATTCGGATGATGCAGATCCATCACCAGAATCAATTTTGTTTAGTAAAATGACAAGTTCTCATGTAAATCCAGCCCATAGCAGTGCTGAGGCTAATGCCCGAGCTGGCGCTGGCCATAGCCAATTTGATGGCCATGGCAGTAGTGCTGCTCTTGCAGGTATAGTTGATAGATCATCACTTATGTATAGAGATGGCTTGGACACAATCAAAGTGAAACCAGAACCAATTCTTAATTAAGGTGTTTGCTGCTGATTAATTAATGGCCCCTACTTGATATTAGGAACAATGGTGTTTCTAAAACAGAGGACAAATGTTTCAAAGGTGAAAAAGCAATTTAGAAACCCTGTTATTGTAAAGTTTTTGTTGGGACCATATTCTCTTTTAAGATTTTTTTTCTTCTTCAGTCTCCCTGTAAAAGGGCATAGATTGGGTGATTGTGTAAATAAACAGTACTAATATGTAGCTTTGCAAGTGCATTTGCCCTAGAATAATTGGGCATTACCTCATAGTGAAACTCATTCATACACATTGTCACTGTACAAACTGAACATGCCAATATTCTGCTTCTGTATATAGTAAAGGTGACTTGTGTATGTACCTCAGTGTGCCGCCTTGCACCCTTCACTGTGAGTATGAAAAATAGTTTTTTGTACCTTTGTAAAAGGTATTGTTGCTTTATCTGTTAGGATAGAAGCTAATGTAGGCTAGAACCTAGGAGGTCTTGGTTGCAATAGCATATTTAATTTATTTGCTAATCCAAGAAAACACCTGCTTTTACAATAATCCAACAGTAAGGCGTGAAATTATATAAAGAGCCAATTGGGAAGTGTGTTATTTAACCCATTTGGCAAGCGGCAGGGCTTTCACGCCTGTCCACTAAGTAGTGTTTATCCCAAGTATGTGATAATTAAGCAAATGATAATGATATGAATAAAAAGTACTGAAGACCCTTTCAGAATTAAATACACAATGATTGGAATTTTACAGTATATTTGTATTTAATGTGTATCAAAGCAAAGCAGTTTTTTGTTTGCACGGATACTACTGGATAAGAAAATATGGGACTGTATTGTATAATGAGACATTTGTGTGTTTTAGAATATCAAATGGTAAATATGAAATTTATATGATTCATTGTTATAGTATTTGTTAAGTATGTAGTTCAGTTTTGGATCAAGATATCCAAGATCTGTTGTTCTTAATTTCCCATTGATTTAGAGACCTATACAATTATATAACCAAAGTATACATGATAGGTTAAGGTTATTTTAATACTTGTAGTTTGTAAGATGTGACCATAGTTTTAAGAAGTGAAGTGTTGCACACTCAGTGTTCCCTGCTTCTCCACACAATATTTGTATTTCACTAAATATTTGTTCCTGGTCATATGGGGATAACAACTTATTTTAGCGAATGGAGAAGCAGAGATAGATACTGAATGATTGATCCTTAGAATAGATGTTACCAGTATAATATGGAAAGTAAAGCAGCAGAGAGTCTGGCTAGGAAACACTTGTTTAGTGGTTTTCCTCCATTCAGGATATTTTTTCCTTAATTATTCATTCTCCAAGGTTTCATATCAGCTTCTAGGATAATTTCTAAACTCCTAGCTATTATCACATTCCCATTCAGATTGTCTGCTGCATGTTCACCTTTACCTTAATTATAGTTTATGTTCTTTTATTATATAGCACTTAATATGCATTTCTGTAAGTATATTACCTTTATGCTGTTATTTATGTTAGTGATATCTTATAACCCTCCCAACACCCCTCAGGCTGCTATTGGGAATTCCTAGTTTGTCTAATCATGTCTGTACATTTATTCCAGTAAAGATGTTAAATTGTAAATCCAGGTGAATAAATATGGGCCAGTAGTGTGCTCAGTTTTTCCTGTTTGGCATTTCCATGTGCCAATGAAACACTAATTTCTGAAATCCCTGGAAAACAGTGTCTGATCAGCCCAATAGCTGGCCATTTGTACATATTGTGACATAGAACACAAATCTGGCCATGTGGCTAGGTGGGATTCCACCTGCCTATTGTGTGTGTATGTAGTAGCTTTGTTGTGGTGCCCCAAGTGTCGTTATTGTCGTCATTACGGCATCGGAATCTGTCTGTCATCCAGCTCCCTGTACTACTGCTGTATGCATGTTTGTTGGTAATTGTATTGTGGTTGGTAATATAGATCAACAGCATATGAAAAATGTACTATTGGGTACTAGAAAAAAAAAAAAAAACAAAAAAAACATCCCCATATGATATCAGTCTTTAAAAAAAAAAAAAGTGATTTGTTCTTCAGTGTATTGCCAAGTCCATATAGACGAGGATAGATGAACTGGTAGATGTTTGGCCTGGTGCCATAGGGAGGGATGTGCCTGTAGATGCTCTAAATAAACGCTATCTTAAAATGTATTTTATTTTATTTTCCTCAAGACATTTTATTTGGTGAAGTATTCCTGACAAATTTATATATACTACATATTTATTATTAAATCCTAAGAAAAAAAGGGCAGAAAAAAATTGGACACCATTTCTCTTTTATTTTGCCATGTGGCTTCATGATGGTGAAACTTGCCTATACACACACAATGTACAGGGAACGAACCAATGCAAACCAATGAAGCTGCAGAAACCAATGATAATACAGACTATACGGCATGACGAAAGCCCCACCTGAACGAACAGCACCTTGGAGGGAAGTGGCCGTTCTTCAAGAGTGGGATTCCATAACTGTTACATAATAATTACTGTCTTATACACTACAAATATATACAAAAATCTTACTCCACCAAATGAAACATACAACTGAATGCTGATACTCTACAAAATACGACCAATCTTGGAGTGCCAGCGTTGGAGGGAAAACAAGATTGGACATGGGCACCACAGTACCCGAGGCTCCTTGTCCGCAGAGGAACTATACAGTTTGGGATTTATAAAATAATCAATATACTTTTAACAATTTTTTTCTGCATGTGAGGCCTTACGCATCAATTACTGAATGAAACAGTAACTAGGTCACTTCTGGGGTAACTACAGATGGTCAGGAGGGGATCGAACTGGAACCGTCAATTCCTTACTGTACCACATAACCAATAAGTAGCCTTATCACATCCTGGGGCCAGCACTCTTTCATAACAAACTCCAGTTTTCATGTGGAGTCCAGAAATCACATCCTTGCACTTAAATTACACATAATCACTTTGGTTGTACTGTCTTTTGTCACTTTTAACAGTTCCTATTTTAAGAGCACTTTCCATTTCTGCCTGAAAAAACGTTTGTAATATGGATCTTCCAGGCTAAACTGAAGTCTTTTTTTTCTGCATTAAAAAGTTTTTCTGCTGCAAACAAAGGCTAATAATTGTTATAGTATCCTTCAGTAGTCCAATATTATTAGCCCTGTTAATGTAAATTTTCTAGAAAGAAATGCAGTCTTATTTTATGGTCTAGGATAAGAGGAGTTCTTTTCAGTTAACAGGACTCATCTGCCAAGTAACACAAGCAGAACATTGTTTAAGTAAACAAGGCATCTAGGTTGCCCTCCTCTCATCCATAGTAGGTCCTAGGATGACACCAACTGACACTTTGTTTAACTCTTTCATGGTCACTCCCACAGGGCCATACTATCTCAAGCCAGTCCACAAGTAGCCGTTAGTGAATGATGAGCAAGTTGTTCCCAGCCGCGTTTGCACCACATGTGGCGGACATATAGATTTTTGGCGCTGTCTTCCATCTCCTGGCCCCAGTCACTTCTGTGTTCCTACAATTATTCAATCATTCTTTGCCCAACATTAATTTTTCTTTGTAGAATAACAACAGGTCAATAAACTTTCTCATAGAAAAATAATAAACCATTATAACATATCTTTTAATCTCTAATCTTGATAACATCTCCTGCTACCTAACATTCAACTTGGTGATGTGCAAAGAAAATACAGGGGTTAGGGAAGTTTCCTCAAGTACACTGTGTATCTACATTAATGCCTTTGGTATAGAAGAGTTGAGTATGTAAGGCTCTGTATATAAGTGAACTATATTAATGGTACTTACATTCATAACAATAGTATACAACAGTCTGACAACAGCAACTGTTACCCTCCTCATAGAATAATAATCTCTCTGTACACTAGACATGTAAGTCACAACCCAATGGTAAGAATTGCACATAAGGCTGAACCAAACCACAGCTAACGTACCACTAGCAGCTTCACTGAACCTACCCTGGCTGGCTGCCGTACTCCCTGCCAAACAAAGATGGTAAAATGCCATCAAAGACATTCTCATTTCTGTGGCCAACATGTGTGCAGCAAGTCTTTCTATCTCATGCTTGATACAAGTTCATGCTGGGGCAATAAAGAGATAATGAAGTTGAAGGCAAAGGAAAGAAGGAAAAAAAGGTAGAAGAGGGGGCAAGGGGGGAGAGAGGGAGAGAGAGGGGAGTAGGGGGAGAAAGGGAGAGGGGGGGAGAGAGAGAGAGAGAGAGAGAGAGGAAAAAAAGACAAGAATTGAGATATAAATCCTGACCATGTGCAGGTATTCTCATTATGAGGTAAATCATGAGTCTCATATACCTAGAAGAGAAATCATTTCCTTAATATAATCAATGGTAAAAGCAAGGTAGGGAGTGTGTACACATTACTTGTGGGTAAATGGGAAAGAAAGATGCACGTACTCCCAACACCCATTTAATTTTCTAGCATTCCCCCCTTTTGTACTGGTTAAAGTTTAAATCACAGGACTGCTCTGGCATTAAAACATCACATTGGCTTCCCTCAACCATTACAATGGAGCATGGCCCTCCCTACACCCATAATTAACATTTTTGGAGCATTACTGACATCTTATCAATCAGTATAAAAAAAATAATAAATTCTTTTCATGGAGTTTTTTTTTTGTTTCAAAGACATACACGATATATATATTATTTTTTGTTTTTGTTTTTTTTATTTTTTTTTTTTTTTATTTTTTTCCTCAAATGTGGCAGTAATTTGAAAGACATACACGAATATATATATATTTTTTGTATATTTTTTGGTTTTCTTTATTTTTGTTGTTCCAATAAATTTATTTGGCAGTGAGGCACAAGTGCTCCAAAATATGTCCATGGTAATACCATGACACATCCTGCAACTTGCAATGACTGGTAGCAGGCTGGTCTGTAGGGACTGGTTAACCATATGAGTGACATTGTGGATGACATAGCATGATTGGCAGGAAGCATGTTACTTGGACAGTAGATGCTTCAACATACTTTCTTTGTCATTCCCACTATTACCACGACTATCGTCCATCTGTAACAGAAAATAAAATCTTAGTTTCGATTCATAAGATATAATTAACAATACATCTGTAATTTTTAAAATGATATCATGAGCTAAATCTGTCTAACTGAATTCATGTAACAAATCTTAAGAGTATGCCCCCATCTACTCTGGGAAAATGTGTTGACATGCCGAGTTACAAAGTAAAGGTAGTGAAATATATGTTAAAAGGACAATAATGTAAAACCTCTGTAGATAAAAAATTTGCTGAGATAAATGTTTCTACAATAAAACTGTGAAGCATGGGCATGAGCAAGTCAATAATGAGTGGATCCAGGGTATCTAAAAGACCAATTCTGAAGTGAGGGTGCCAGTAGATCTGTGGTATTCACAGAGCAGCTTGTGAGATCCATGTTGCTCCAATTGGTGGCTCTCTTTTCAATAATTGTGGGTAAAATATTTTTAAAATCATAAAAATTACTAGAAATCCTTTATCCAAACTATTAGACTGCAATATTCATGCATTAGGTTATATTCAGTTTTTCTTTTTCTCTATATGAATGATTATAAAGTGGTGACATTTCTATGTGCTCAGTTTTCAAGTAAAAAAATAATGATAAATTCATATACAAACAAGCAAAAAAAAAGTGCAACTGAACATTTTGGATCATTTCCTTCATTATTTTTATGAACCAATTGAGATTTTTAGGCATAATGCCATTTCATATAGGTCAAAGGTTTATGAGCTTCAAAATAAAGAGGGAAACAGAGTGCCCCTCAAAATTATGGTGTATCAAAGTGTACACTGAAAGACACAGAAAATGTATTTTAATGAAATTTCATAGTTTCCTTGTAAAACCCATACCAGCTTCTTTTTCATAACTTTCCATACTAAGCCACCAAGGAATCAAGTAGTGACCACCTGATTTCCCCATTCCATGAAAGCGTGGGAAAATTTTATTTTTCTAATACTATCAATATTGATACTATTATTACAATAAATGTTATGTTCTTTAAAGTACTGACAACAGTAAAGTTAATTTAAAAAGTCTTGCTGAAAATCAAGGAAAAGGTCTTGCAGGTGAGGCTAATAATTGACTCCTTGGTGACTAGGCACTTCTGGAGCCAATTTCTGTGTAAACACAATTAATAGACTAAAATTACAGTGGACATAACATGTAGTCATGATGCCATCTTCACCAATTCACAAGGTACTGTGGGGAACAGATGAAATAATTTTCTAATCCTACCATTCTCTGAGGGATAAACTAAAAAAATATGGACATAATGCTCCTGGCAATGTGCAATAATCTTTGGGAGCTCTAATTTCAAAATGTATTACAAAATGCTGAAAAGTTTAAAAAAATCATAATTTTTCTCCATTTTTCTGTTTATTACTCATTTTTATTATAACCAGTTCTGCTAGTATTTGTTGTGTATGGCTATGCAAAGACTACACTTGGAAAACATAGTTTGCATTAAAAAACAAAAGAAATCCCTTGGAAGTGTAGGCTATTATGTAAAATGTGGTTTATGCATAAAGTGTAGCTCTCTAGTGTATGTGGTCTACTAAAATGGCTCTCACATCATTTTCTGCCACAACACATGGAAATTCAAACATATCTTTCCCAGCACACACACACATCCACAAATCATCATGCATACTCATAAACTTAAACAAACATGAAAGCAAACATTCATGAAATACATACTCTCTCTCTCCTCTCTCTCTGTCCCTCTTCCCCCCCCCACACACACACACACAAACAGAGAGAGAGAAGAAATAAATTTACTTTCTCTCACACACAATTAAAATCACAAACACCTGCACACACACCCACACCAACTAAATCATGATATCTGTCTGTCTGTGTCTCTAAATGATATGCTAGATGTTAAACAAAGCCTTATCAGTGGCTGA